AAATGCGTGCTATTGTTTCTGGACTGTATTACAGGTACAAACAACAGATAAGATACACAATTGTGGCATTACTGCAGTCAAAATAAGGAGATATCCATTACCATTCCCCACCAAATGAAAGCCCAATTTGTCCTGAAAAAAAAACAAGGTATAATTCACCTGGATGTACAAAGTAGTTATGATGATATGTATGGATTTACTAACACATGTCATAGTTGCAAAATTGTGCTTAGGCATTAGGATTTGTTTTACACGTAGGTGTGAAGGGGTTACATTTGATGTACTTATGCTTGGCAAACAGCCAAATTGCTCAGTCCTTGCAAATCAGCTTGGGATGTTGTAGCTCGTGGTTTAGACCAGTATGATTGGGATGATGTTTGGGAGACCCTTTTCAGCTGTCTGGTCTCCAATAGAGGCCGTCTGATACATTTTACATTTTTAGGCTTGCTAGGATATATAGGGACCAGTCTTCCCTATGCTGGAGATTTTCAGCACCTGCAGCAGACGTCATGCATATTTTTTGTGAGTGCGATAACTTTAAGCCCTTCTGGCAGGCAGTGTTGACTTGCATCACCTCAGTTACTTCTGTCTCTGTACCATCTTCAATTGAAGTCTGTCTTCTGGGTCTGGTGGAACCATTGGCCACCACAAAAGCAATCTGTACACTCCTTATTATACTGTTTTATGCTAGGAAGTTAATTATTTTGACATGGAAGAAATCTTCTGCACCATCTCTAGCAGCGTGGAAATCCTTGGTGAATAATGCAGTTCGATTTTATAAGGCTGCCTGTCTAAATGGGGGGGGGGGGGGGGGCTTTACCAAATTTGACAAGGTATGGGGTGGATGGACAGCTTCCTCTGATACCATCTCTGATTAGGTTATGATCTGAACCCTGTATTAGTCACTGTATGTGTTGAGTATGACCATATTTGCTGGGTGTACCAGCTGACAATATGTGCCTGGCCATTCATGATCTTCAATGGGTCAAATTGTTTTACTCTGTATGCATATCCGTATATTCTGAGTGACTTTTATGTTTCACATTTGGTTGTATTATGGGTTATTTTTCTGAAATCCTGCTTCTCTGCAGGGAGGGATGGTGGGCCATGGACTATCACTTTGTTTGTCTGTGAATATCCTACAGGCAATGCTTGTTGTCGACTATTTTAAGGCATTTACCTTCTTGATGGTTGAACAAGCATTTACCTTCTTGATGGTTGAACAACAAAATTAATCATGTATGTTTACTATTTTAAGGCATTTATCCTGCTGGTTGAACAACAAAATTAATCATGTATGGCCAGCCAGTAACTAGGGATTGAAGACACACCCGGCTAATAATTGCTGGTTAGTACATTGACCAAGAGAGTCTAACCTATACAACAATGACCATCATAAAGCAGATTACTTATTCAAATCCCTGAGTCCATGAATCCTGATAAGGCTTCTACACTGCTGGAAGCTAAGCTGTGTATGTTCAGAGAGGGCACATTTGACAAACTCAGCCTTGAGAAGCAATACAGCTTCCAGTGGAAGTCACGAGACACACATGACGTAACACGTAGGTGTGCGGTGACGTACTTCCGGTTGGACGCCATCTTTGTGCACCCATTCAGCTACACCCATTGTGAAGGGAAATATCTGTTTATGCTGTTCACAAGAAGGAGGATTATGTGAGGGCATATCTTACTGTTACCTACATTTATTAATAAAAGCAGTATTACACTATTTGGAGCTTCATATTCTATGAGAGTTACTGGCCATACTCACTACACTACAGGAAAGAGGTCTGCCATTACATATACCAGTCTGAAAGAGGGATGCCATCCAGGAGAAAGTGACGTGGTTATGGAGGAGCTTTACACATGAAGGATCCAGTGATAGAGATCCTAATAGCATTGTGACCCTTTACGGGTCGACGCGGGGAGGTGAGCGTACATTTTTTCCATTAGTGGATGCCCTCTTGTCACCATCTGCACAGATCACTTAAGTTCACAAGATTTCATATTTTATGTTTATTGCACCCATCTTGGACATTTTTTTTAATATTAGGGTGTGCTATATATGTGTATGTTCTGCATGGCATGAGATATATTTTTTTGCACTATATGCATGTAGATATATTGATTTGTGTTTTTCATTGTTTTATTGAGTATTTGCACGAAATGTGATGTGTTTTTTTCACATATTGATTTAGTGGGTTGGTTCATTTTGTATATATGTTACATGTACATGCGTTTTGATACTTTATGTGGGGTATATTTTTTTTGAGAAATTTGGAGCACCTGTAGTAGTCCTATCATTGGATTACTCACGATCACGTAAAGATTGGACATTCAGTCCAGATTGGTGTGAGTGTTGTGTGGTTTGTTTTTCTATGCACATACACTGCATTTAGGCATCATTATCAGTTTGTTCCTTTTTTCACTTATATAGTTGGCATTTATCGCATGCACTATAATATCACTTTATTTGTCTAGTCATTTTATTTGTTTTATTGTGGATATTTACATGCATTTATGAGTTTATTTGTTACATGTTTAAGGTTTATTCATAGGTAGCAGCGCCACATCATTTCCTTTTTCAATACAGCTTTTCCCACTGTTGTATGTAAACTAAGCTACATATACGCTGTAACAGAGAAATTATTTTTGATCATGGAATACACATATGTATCACTTATGTATTATTGTATATTAAATTACTTGTCAGCCTGGAGATGTTTAAATTGTTTTAGTGAAAATAAAGCTGTAAACACGAAGGACAATAACGTGACCATATATAGACAGATCAGATTGTTTAGAAATAGACTAGACTCCCTGCTAACTTTTGTTCGTCACATGCTTATTCACTACTGAGTGTATGTCAAATGATTACCTGTTACTGTGTGTCTGGTAGTAAATGAGGCCTGAGCTATTTTTTTTTTGCACACATGTTAATGTATATTCTAGGTAAGAAGATCATTTAAAACCCTTAAAACATAGTTTCTGAAAGCGGAAACCCTGGAGACTAGAATGGTGCAATTTTTATATGTCACATCATTATTAGTGCAAGTTTATCAAACCCATATTTTCTTTAAAAAATACAGAAAAGTTAATTTTAATGCACACAAACACACCCCATTTTTGGTAGGATGTAAAAGACGAGGTTCCGTTGAGTAAATAGATACCAAACATGTCAAGCATTAAAATTACTTTCAACCTTGAAACGGTCCCATAGGCAATGGTTTAAAAGTATTTGTGTTTATGTTCTTATGTACGAGGGGTACATTTACTTAACTTTATTCCTATCATATAGCAGACTGTGTGTGAATGCACTGTGGAATGAAAGGTTTTTAGACCCCCAAGGAGTATATTTGCTAAAACTGGAGCACACAGAATCTGGTGCAGCTGTGCATAGTAACCAATTAGCTTCTAACTTCAGCTTGACAATAAAACCTACAAGCTGATTGGTTACTATGTACATCTTCACCAGATTCTGTGTGTTCCTGTTTTAGTAAATAACCCTCATATTATCATCTCTGCACTCCACTGAAGCTAATCAAGCATAGGTTATGCTTGATTAGCTTCTTCTCCAATCACAGTGGCTAGGGTTTGACAGCAATGAAACTGGAAGCATTTCTGGCTATGATTGGCATGATCACAAACATTCATCCTCTACTCTCCCCTCTGACACTCTCGTGGACATGTCAGGTACTGAAGGAGAGGGTAGCAGAACCCGGGATACAGAGTTAAGGTGTCGGTAGGAAACAGCACCTTCTGCAGGCTGTAAAAGTAATCAAGGCTTTACAGTAATTTCTAGCAAAAAGCCAACAGCCTGCAGAAGGAATATACCATAACTCCAGTTGACTATAGCAAACTATGATCTGTGTTCAATATTAAATTATTTAATGTATTTTTGAAATGCAGTTAATATGAGCACCTGAATTTGACTTGGTATCAGCCTGCATTCACCTATACAGCAGCACTCAGATGGGGAAAGGGTCATGCAGTAGTGGGAGCCCACAAATGCATTGCATTGAAATATGCTGAAAAAGAACATGCTAATAGAAGAGGCCAGATTGAGCAGACAGGTTCCTTCATCAGTCACCTGCTGCTCTTTCACTGTTAAGTCAACAGGTGGGGTAGAGAGAGGACATCACAATATCCTTTTTACAGTCTAAAACTAAAGCAGAGAACATGGTGGCATCCGTTTGGTTGTGTTGTGTGGTAGAAATGTGTACATTTTAGGTCTGAATGTACAGAAATACATTTTTTGTCAGTTAAAACATCTCCCTTAGGCCTCATGCACACGGGTGAGGCATTTTTGATGCCAGAAATTGGCAAACAAAAATGCCTTTAAATGCCTCTAATCTTACATTTTCACACTTAAGCTTAGGCACGTTTTGCATGTTCATGCGCATGTGGCATTTGGACATGCATAAACTGATCCTATGTGGCTGGAACATTCATATATTTTTGCCACTGAAATAAACATGCATAAACAACATTTTGGTGCGTTTATGCACAGAAAAATCGCAAAACCGCTTGTCTGGGTACATGTGACTGGACCATTTTTTCTACCCCTAAATGCCTATGTCTAAAAACATGCTAAAACGCTTGCATGTGCATGGGCACATTAGCTAACGTGCAGGTGTGTTTAGAGGTGTAAAAAAAAAAAACAAGACGCCCTGAAAGCTGAGATTTTTGCATCCATGCGCATTAAATCAAACATTTGTTTAATGTACCGTATTTTCCGGCGTATAAGACGACTTTTCAACCCCTGAAAATCTTCTGAAAAGTCGGGGGTCGTCTTATACGCCGGTGCGAGCCAGTGTCAGGGTGGCACTTTTTCGAGGGGCGGCGCGGCGCCGCCCCCCCTCCTCCTCCAACTGACACTAAGTACAGGGGTGGGCAGAGGGGCTGCTGTACCTTACCTGGCTCCGGTCCCACGACGATCCGGTCCAGGAAGCGCGGCTGCTCCTTCATTCAGTTCGGCCGCTCGATGGTCACGCGGCCGCTCGGCTCCGCCTCCTCACCGGTGATTGGGCGCCGGCACTGTAAAGGCACACAGGCGACCAATCACCGGCGAGGAGGCGGAGCCGAGCGGCCACGCGAAAATCTAGCGGCCGAACTGGAAGAAGGAGCAGCCGCTCCTCTCCCCCACTGACACCAACGATGAGGCACTGTTCCTCCCCCACTGACACCAACGATGAGGCACTGTTCCTCCCCCCCACTGACACCAACGATGAGGCACTGTTCTCCCCACTGACAACAATGATGGGGCACTATTCTCCCCACTGATACCAATGATGGGGCGCAATTCCTCCCACTGACACCAATGATGGGGCGCAATTCCTGCCACTGATACCAATGATGGGGCGCAATTCCTCCCACTGACACCAATGATGGGGTGCAATTCCTGCCACTGATACCAATGATGGGGCACTATTCCTCCCACTGACACCAATGATGGGGCGCTATTCCTCCCACTGACACCAATGATTGGGCGCTATTCCTCCCACTGATATCAATGATGGGGTGCTATTCCTCCCACTGATACAAATGATGGGCCGCTATTCCTCCCACTGACACCAATGATGGAGCACTATTCCTCCCACTGACACCAATGATGGAGCACTATTCCTTCCACTGACACCAATGATGGGACACTATTCCTCCCACTGACACTAATGATGGGACACTATTCCTCCCACTGACACCAATGATGGGGCACTATTCCTCCCACTGACTAATGATGGGGCACTATTCCTCCCACTGACTAATGATGGGGCACTATTCCTCCCACTGACTAATGATGGGGCACTATTCCTCACACACTGACACTAATGATGGGGCACCATCATTGGTGTCAGTGGGAGGAATAGTGTCCCATCATTGGTATCAGTGGGAGGAATAGTGCGCCATCATTGGTGTCAGTGGATGAAATAGTGCCCCATCATTGGTGTCAGTGGGAGGAGTAGTGCCTCATCATTGATGTCAGTGGGAGGAATAGCACCCCATCATTGGAATACCATACCATATTGAAATCAAATCTGATGTTTTTTTATTTTTATTTGGTGTGCATTGGAAGAGGGGTAGTCTTATACGGCGAGTATAGCTCAAACCCTATATTTTAACAGGAAAAGTAGGGGGTCGTCTTATACGCCCAGTCGTCTTATACGCCGGAAAATACAGTATATATGTTGCTGTGTGCCTGTAGCTCCTGTGCCCAGACTATGGATATTAAACTGTTTCATAGTTGGTAAGGTTGAATAAAGACATCAGTCCATCTAGTTACATAGTTAATGTGGTTGAAAAAAGACACAAGTCCATCTAGGTCACCAATAAAATGGGAAAAAAAAAAAAATTATACAGTCCTATATACACAATCCTATACCCACAGTTGAACCAGAGGAAGGCAAAAAACCCCAATAAAGCTTGATCCAATGTGCTCCTGCAGGGGACCTTGCATGTCTCAACAAAAAGAACTTGTCACAAAAATCCCCCGATGTGATGAAAAAAAAAAGTTCAATAAAAAAAGATTTTTTTTTTTGTAAAAAAAATAAAGTTACACCCAAGCACATAACATTCCTCCCCTCCAAAAAAAATGTAAGTTCCCCCACATATACGCACATACAATTGTAAACACACACATCGGGGCACCTACACATGAAAACGTCAATTGTGATACACATAATACACATCAATAATTCTAGCACCAGACCTCTTCCGTAAAACTAAACTGATGACCTATAGGGGCTTTTGAAGTGTCATCTATAGAAAATATAGGGTACTGAACTTTGACGCAATTTCATAAGTTAACACAAATGTAAAGTTTGGCATGTTGGGTATCTAGTTACTTGGCACTACCTCGTCTTTATATTGTACAAAGAATTTGAGTAATTTATTGTGTTTGTTTGCCTTAAAATTCAATTTAGTGTGATATTTACTGAAATTTTGTGTTTCCTAGACCTTTGCAATAATATCATGCAGGGCTGCTGTTAGAAACCACGGGGCCCCATACAGCCAACCTAACAGGTTTATTATACTTCCTTTATGAGTGAAACACAGTGCGTGATCGGTACCGATCACTCATTATGCTCATTCAGGAAAGGAAGGGGCTGTTACATGTGACATATTTACCCTCCATCCTGAAGGATCCTATTGTGTGCTTGCAGCTGCCTTTGGAAAGGAGAGGAGGGAAGCCGACAACACTGCGGGGGGGCATACAGGGGGGCTTGGACAGCATGGGGAAACATATGGTGCCCAGAGGTGGTGGTGATGGGTGTGGTAGAGGGGACAATTACTGGAACTGATCTCCCATAATGCTCTCTCTGCAGCAGCTGAAAAATGGCAGGAGGGAGAGGAGAAGCCATCTTTCAGCTACTGCAGAAAGAGCCATAGGTTCTAGTAAAGACCCCTCCCCGCCGTGCTGATCACCCTCCCTGCCCACATCCGAGTCACCCAGCTGCCTGGGCCCCGTACAGGAGGACCAGTGGTAGCCCCTTATCCATGGCCCTGATATCATTTGACATAAAAATTGCAACTACCACTGTTTTATTCTCTAGGGTGTCTGCTTTCAGAAAATATGTAATGATTGGGGGTTTTGTGTTGAGGCCTAAAATGATTTTTTTTTAACTTGTGTGCCAAAAATGCAAAAACTTAAAAAGGTCACACAGCATAGGATTACTCATTATTAGGCCATAGTAGCCACGCGTATATACATAAAATACCATGATAAAGCATATATAAAATCATCATTTACATTTTAGTAACTGATTATTTTTGTGTAGTTTATTGAAACTGTTGCAAATTAAAGCTATGTAAGAAAGTATAGCTTTTATGAACTGTTGAACTGACCGGGGCCTTATTCTTTTTACATACTTTAACTGGCCAATGAGTGCAATGAGATCAGAAGAGATTATATTAAGTCTCAAAAACCACCAGTTAAACATGCCTATTCTAACTGTTACTGTGCATTGGTTTCAGTGAACCTAAAATAAGGATCTCTTTCATTTGTTGAGTTTAGAACTTTTGAATATCCATCACCCAGTTCTGGCAGCATAGTGTCTGTTCCACATCTGATCTACACATATTGATATCTGTATGAAATGTGTCTTAGAATAAAGTCTTCTACACCACATGACATCCTGGCGCGTGATACATAACAGTAGCAGGAGTATAGCTTGGTACAGATCATTTCATAAGCTGGATAGAATCCATAGGAACTTGAAGTAACAACTACTGCCAGTCACTGCAGGGGTTGAAAAATATGTCAGTGCATGTCATTGGTAAAGTGGTTTACAGTAGTGCTCCTCACCATTTTATATTGAGGCGTATTTATCATATCCACCACACATAATCCCATCCGCATACATAATACAATTATGAATGGTGATGTTTAAATGATATTTGGTTTATTATTTTTAAAACAAATACCGGTACATTTTCTTTTCACACAAAATATTTAATATTTGTTTTTTTTCCATAAATAATTAATTTTCGTGTGTTTTATATAGTGTTTCTTTCACAGAGAGACACCAATATTACGGTCTACAATGCCACAGCGCTTCCATTGTGGCTGTAGTCAGGTGACTCAGGATGTTAAGATAGGGGAAAAAATACAGTAGGGGGATATAGGCACACTAAGTACTAGGTATCAGGGGTATGGACACAAATTTGCCTGATAGATACAGGCATAAAAAAACACCACATGGCAGGGAGATAAAGGCACAACAAGTGTTAGACAACATGAAGATACTGTCAGCAATTGCTAGATGCCAGGTAATGAAATCTAATGGGCAGAGAACCTGGGTTCAGCTTCCTGCTAGTGTGATGACCCAAAAACACAGAAATTGCTTTCTACTACAGAAAATTGCGCATTGTAGAATGTACTGTAATTAGACATAGCTATTTCATCTTGTTGAGTCTATTTATTGATGTCACAAATTAAACAGCATTTTTAAAAAATGATGCATCATGATGTGATATATTATGTTAGATTTATTAATATTTTGTATTTTATTGACATCAGGCTGGTATTATGTACAAAAAGGTAAGTATAATAAGGTGATCAAAGGGTCAACTGTGTGCTTAACCAGTGTACTATATGGCATTTTTACTAAAGGATGTGCAGGATTTTATTCCCTGCTTTTACGGAAACAAAATGCAGCAGATTGCTGCTGACAGGACACAGATCTGCCTTGTGTACATAGACAGAGCTGTGTTCTGTCTCTCACCTCACCAATCAGCAGGTGCCGGTGGTCATCCATTGGCTGGCACCCGCTGATCAGCTTCTGCTGTGACTAATCACAGCAGAAGCGGTGCACGGGCCCTACCAGAAAGTGCAGAATCACCTATACATATGTCTGTATAGTCCAAAAAGCATATGTATTAGGATTCCCCCACCAATGACTCCAGTTGTTGCCAGAATCTTCCCAGTGTAAAGAAGCACCAGTACCACCTGTGCTACAAAATGTGTAGCATGCTTAGCATGTCATGATAGGTAGGTGTCATCCCAGGCAGCCTATGCATCCACCCACAGTACTTTCTCTCTAGTTCCCAACACCAATCCAAGCTGCAACAAATAAAGCTCACACCAGTAATAGTACAGTATTTATTGCACCATGAGAATCACCACTGTAACTCACATAGAAAGCCATTGCTGACCAATATCATGTGAAATTATACTGCACTTTAAGATTGATGTATTCATATTTTGTTGATTTTTGCACTTTATATTGATATGTGACTAATAGTTGCACTTTGTAATTAATTGTTGCTGTCTGATTATGTGGCGCTGCTGTTGATTATCTTTATGGGGTTTCTTTCTTCGGGTTTTTGTATGTCAGCATTTCTGCTAGCAGCCTTTATTATCACAGCTCATACCTTATATTAGATATTTAAATGTGTGATTGTATTTTACAGGATTCATTATTTTGCTGTACTGATTGCTGAGTTATTAATGTAGTAATTGAAAGCGTATGGGAAAATACTATTTTTCTAATTGTTCTGTTTGCTGAATAGGTACTCTTCATGTGAAAATACCTTTTTCAACAGTACACTCATTCAGAATGTATTATGAGTTTTTGCAGAATTCATTGTATGCATGCTATAAACCTAGAAGACCAGTATTGCCAGAGAGTACCTCCCCATGCTCATTATACTGTGTAAAATATTCTTAATAAGTGGTAAATGTGCTTTAAAATGAACCCTCACTGACCACTGTAGCTGCAGATACTGTGGAGAAATTTATCTTCAGAGATTCAAGTGTTGACGTGGCACTCTGCAAGATTTGAAGGTGGCCAAGCTACTGCTGGTGGTGGGAAACAAAATGAACTGAGCTGTTAAAATTAATCTGAAT